TGTAAGAAGAATGCCACCAATGAGTCAGCTTCGGTAAACCAGTAGTTGTTGGTGCTGAGGGACTCCCACAAACCCCCATTGTAAAAGTCCCAACAGCTAAGTGTAAAATAGCAAGCACACATAGTGTCCACGTGACAGGAAAGCTGGATGGCCAAATGTGCAACTTTGTCATAGTTTCTGCATCTCAGCAAACCCTTGTGAGTATCAAGGTGCTGGATCACAAAGGAGTACCAGAAGCTGTACAGAAGCTCTGTGGTGTGAAAGGACATTATGCAAGGTTGTGGGGACCAGTATGGGTAACTATTGAGCTCATGGGCATGAAGAACAGACAGAAAGTATACTTGGCTGACATTGAAGACCAATGCATATTAGGATTGGACTACTTACTACCGAGGAAGTGTGTAGTTAACTTCGATAAAATGACGTTTGGAAACAACAAAGGCCAAATTCCAATAGGTGTTGCTACATCTGTTGATTTGCATGTCACAACAAGTCAACTACAATTCCCCCTATGTCAGAGAAGATAATTTGGAGTAGAATAAAAGAACATCCCGAAGGAAGCCTGATGCTTGTGGAAGCAGTGGAATACCCATCCAGGCCAGCGGATGTGAAGATTGGAAGGCCACTTGTGACAGGTCATCAAGTAGTACCCATAACATAATTTCTCTAAATGTGAGCAGACACTTAAGGAAGGGGCATCGTTGGGTGTGTGCCAGGAGGTAGAGCTAGTCAATGTTAAGGCAAGAAATACAACTATAAAGAAAGGACAAACACCCCAGAACATTTAACTGACCTCTATAAAAAAGCACAATCCATTTGTCATCATCACAGGCTCTTCAGGTTAGGGAACTTTTGGCGAATTATGCAGACGTCTTTTCAAAAGGAGATCATGACATCGGCTGCACAGACCTTGTGGAGCACAGAATAAACACAGGCAATCACCGTCCAATAAAGATCCCTCCAAGGAGAATAGCTCCGGCAAAGCGACAAGAGATGGAAAAGGTCATGGATGGCCTAATTCAGGAAGAGATAGTCGAGAAATCAGATAGTCCCTGTTCAGCTCCCATCGTGTTAGTCCAGAAGAATGATGGACCCAACGTTGTTATGTGGACTTCAGAGCTCTTAACAGTATAACCGAAAAAAGACTCATACCCACTGCCAAGAATTGTTGATACTCTTGATGCCCTAAGTGGAGCCTGGTGGTTTTCAACTCTAGACTTAAAGTAGGGTTTCCAACAAGTGAAAATGGCTGAGGCAGATAAACCTAAGACTGCATTTAATTATGGCCAAGGTTTCTGGCAATACCATGTGATGCCATTCGGGCTTAGCAGCATTTGAGAGGCTGATGGAAAGAGTACTGTAAGGCCTAGAATGAATGATAGTCCTAGTGTACCTGGATGATGTCATTGTATTTGCAACAACTTTTGATGAGGACATGTCCTGGCTAGAGGAAGTATTCAAGCATTTGAAAGCAGCAAACCTCAAACTCCATCCCAAGAAATGCCACTTGTTCCAGAAAGAGGTGCTTTACTTAGGTCACAATGTAAGTGAGCATGGTGTGCAAACTTATACTGACAAAGTGAAAGCAGTGCGTGATTGGCCAACACCAGACAACGTGGGAGAGTTAAAAAATTTCTTGGGACTCTGTATCTATTACTGGAAGTTTGTGAAGGACTTTGCAACTATAGCTTCTCCACTACATGATTTGACCAAAAAGCCAAAGTTTGAATGGTAGTTTCTTGCCAGCATGCTTTCAAGACATTGAAAGAAAAATTGGCCTCAGCTCCACTTCTAAAGCTTCCAGGTCCCTCACTAGATTGTGATGTCGGAATTGGAGGAGTGTTATCTCAGAAAGTGGGTGAAAACGAAAATGTGGTGGCCTACTTCAGTAAGGTTTTGATTAAACCAGAGAGGAACTACTGTGTAACATGGAGGTAAAGAGTCTGACATATTTCCATCCTTGCCTCTATGGGGCTAGGTTTACCATCAGGACAGACCATGCTGCATTACGCTGGTTAAGATCAGAGGGACAACTGGCACCAAAGGGAAGTCTACTAAGTTGTCTTCTCCATGGGAAGGCTCATATGACATAATGGATCGTCTCTCAGACGTGACTTTCCGAATAAAATATGGTCGGCGAGGTAAAGCAAAGGTGGTGCATGCCAGCAGGCTTTGGCGTTATCACGGTCCAGAACATTTCAGTTTAAACGAAGTGAACAACGAAACAAACAATGTTGCGGAAGATGTGTCACCTGAAAAAGCCACTGTCGAAGAAGAAATTCTACCCGGTTTTGAGAAGGGAAACAGTGAAGCCCTTGATGAAGTTATTACCACTGATGTGAATGTTACCGATAATAGGACAATTCCAGATGGAGCAGATGAACCCCACGTTAAGCAGAAGCCAACGAGATGGAGACCAGTATGGAAGAAGATACATCCTGTACAATTAAGAGAATTTGTTGAATTTTAATTTTGTGTTTGTAAATTTTGTACATTTTATCAAGTTATTGTTAATTATCTATTGGTTTAATGTAAGTGGCTATAGTTCGGGACGAACAATACTAAGGAAGGGGCAGTGTTACGACAGCGTAATTCACGTGACTCTGGTAACACGTAATGAGTATCTAGAAGGTTCGTGAAGGCTCGAGCGTTTGCCAGACGCTCTCTATTTTGTATATATAAGACCAGCAAGAAGTGACGAGATAGAATAGTTGCAGATATAGAGATTGAAGATATAGAGACAGACAATTGAGTCAAGCGTGGTAGTGACCGAAAGTAAAAGGCGTGAATCGTTGTGAATTATAGCGTGTGTTTAAGTCAAAGTGACTGTGGAAATTAAGTGTATTGCAAAGTTGTATTGAGAAAGAATAAACTAGTTTTATTTAAGAAAGGATTTGTATCGCTAAAGTTTTTTCTGAAAGCATTTTTAAGGAAAATTAACAAACGAACACAGAGGCGTAACAATATCTAATCTTCACTCGTGTTTATGTTAACTGCTTAACCATGTGATATTCAGGTAAATTGGTCAGAAGGAAATCGAGAATATACGAAATGTAGATTCCAGCATTGTTGTGTGGAATGATATTTCAAATATGGACAATAAAGGAAAACAAATGACACAAATGAACAAATAAAATAAATCTTTATTCATAAGTGGTGTTCATGTACATTTGTATTTTACCAAATGGTCAGCTTTAGATTCGTTTCATGACTTTTACTGGCTACTATAGTGGAAAGAATATTTCATATTTCTACACCAGATGAAGATGGGATCAAAGCAAGAGCTGAGGTAAGAAAGAAAAAATCATGGAAATACAGCACTTTTATGTTAGGCCAAAGACCTAGTATGTTCTATAATACTTTAGACTACCTATGTTAACGATCATTCTAAATAAGCATATAGAAGAAAAATAAACCCCAACTCATATTAATTTGTACAAATCGCTGTATCATCTCTAGAATTGGCTGGCCTATTCTTTCACAAAAGACAGACGCAGATATGGAGTCAAACTGATACAAACTTTTATGGAACACTGGTTGAATTATGTAATCTTTATCTGAACAAGAGGATTCATGGGTGTTTATGATCTCGTACATTTGGTTTCTGGGAAGACTTTAACTTCATTTATGTAAGTATGAAAAGTTATTTTTAGAATTAATATATATATATTCAATGCTAATTATGGAAGGGTAAAATTAACATCTTTGTTTAACTGAGACACTCTTCAAAGAAAGACCATGAGCCAAGGTGAAAAGATACTGCCATGCAACACGTGCGGGTAAAGGCAACAAAGTCAGAAACGATTACCCTATTATATTCGTTCAGAATTGTTTAGGGTAAAACTGAAAAATCATTGTTTGAAAAGGAAAACAATGCCATAAAAATTGGAACAATCTATTTTATTAATATATGACAGGTTTATTGGTTTAGCTACCATAAAAAAATTTCCTACTGTTTTTCACATTTATATAATCCCGAGTAGATCTTCAGAGTATAATTTTTTTTCTACTACGGTAGGTGGCACCTTAACCTTATGCTCGTATTTACTAGTTGGGGATGTCGACATTGAAATCATTGACTTGTCGGTGTATGAAAAATACTGTATAGCGACATCAATTTTAAATATACGGTGAAGTATGTTAGAAGTAAATTTAAACACTTTTCACGTTAAAATCAAAGCTAAGTATTAAGTATGTGTAATAGTACTGAATAATCACTAACGACGACAGTGCTTGTTTAAGACTAGTGCTACTAGTACCACTAATATTGCACGTAGTGAAGAGTGGGAACCACGATTTGATAACAGAAAAATAAAGATAAAATATACTGCTTTCAACAATTTTTAGAGTCTTATCATGAGTGAATTTAATGTTCAACTTTTCGGCCATAGACATACGTCATTTTCAGATACAATGTTGTGGAGTAAACTCGTTTATTATTAATAATAATATTATAAAAATAGAAGATTCATTGAGACTAAGAATGTTGAACTTGAAAGCAGTTTCAATTTGGTTGTTCTTCAACTGATTTATGGTAATTCTCATTATTATTAAATCATTAAGACTAAGGAGGAATTGTGAGTGAATTTGTCTAGGCCAAGATTTTCAGTTTACCCTTAATGAATTAAGGTCCACCTTTTGAAATTGTTTGATTTCCTATTTTTGTTTTGTATTGATTGTTTTGAACCTATATATTTCCCTAACATCATGAATAGGCCCTACACTATAACTAACAGTAATACTATGGTTTAGAATTTCTAGACTGATATTATTATTACTAAATATTAGTGAAAATAGTAGAGAAAAAATAGGTCTAATTATCAAAAAGAACTAAAAAGGATTAAATCCCAAGCAAAATGGTGGCCTTCTTTGATGTTTCTTGTTATGTTTTTACATTAAATGTAGAAGTGGCTAGGTAGTACAGCATAAAACACGCATTTCCTATATGTTCTGTCTCCTGTAGCCTGGAGACTTCTTAAAGCAGGGAAAGCCCACATGTATCATCATGCAATACTCAAGTAGAGTATACTATTTAGTATAGTTTATGTAAGTACATACAGTTTATATACATTAGGCTTGCATTAAACTTAATGTTAAAGGTTAAAAAGTACTAGACAATGATACTGGAACTATGTTAGGCCACATCAAATGAAATATTATTACTACTATAAGGTCATTAATACACTTGTAATGTTGTAAGTCATTTTTGGCATTGCTATTCGACACTACTTTATTAATTAAAAGTGAAATAGAAGAAGGAACTATGAGTTAACAGTAATCAATGAATGCAGGGTCTATCATTTATGTATGTACAATTTTTATTTAATTAGGTTCTGTGGTATATGCAGGCATAATTGCCTCTGTATACAGCTAATTAGTATCTTCTTCACGTGATGTAATAACGTTACTGTGATTTCTAGTTGATGATTTTTAATTGTAATTAAATTTGATGCTTTGGGAGGTTATTCCTTGTGTTTACTGTTCTCTGGCTAAAGTTAGGTTTATTTAGGTGTAAAATGCAATCTGATGATGAACAATGCAACCTCAGAAGTGTTGTTAACATATTTAATAAACATTTGAAAATTTACACATTCCATCCTGCTGAAGATGGAATGTGTATATTCCAAAAAATTAGTAGATATGTTGTTATTTGTGACTTCTGACATTGTATTGTTCATCATTAAATTTCCTTATATTTAATCTCTTTCTCTCTTTTTTAACAGTTTGGATTAATTTTGACACATTCTTTACTTATTTTTAGCCAGTTTTTTGTCATATCACTGTTGTAGATACCATTAATGATCTTATGTTTCATTCATATCTCTCCTTAATCTTCTTAAGCAGCAGTTCTAAATCTGTGGTCTGTGGAAAGATTGTGTAATTATGGAAAGGCAGAAGCAGCGTGATGTATAGATCCCACTGAAGGCCACTGAGGTTTAAAAATATGTGAACAAATAAAGTTTGAGAACCATTGTTCTGAAGTGTAATATTGGTGGGTTTAATTTCAATAATATTTCTTTGTAGTTTATATATTGGAAAGATTGTGTAATTATGGAAAGGCAGTAACAGTGTGATGTATAGGTCCCACTGAAGGCCACTGAAATTTAAAAAATATTCAAATGACATGTGAACAAAAAAGATTTGAGAATCAGTGTTCTGAAGTGTAATACTGGTAGGCTTAATTTCACTCATCTTTCTTTGGATTTTATATATTTAAGTGATGATATTAGTTAGTTTTTTCTTCTTTATATGTTTTCATTTATGTAAGTATTCTTTTTTTTATGAAGTGACCAAATGTTTGCTGCATACTGTAGGTGGGTTCTCATGAGAACTTTAAAGAACAGTTTGAAATTTTATTCATCTAATAAACTCTAGGTTTGTCTTAATACTCCCATTATACTTTTATTTCAACCTTATTAATTTTTAACTAGATATGTTTTCAAAATTTGCTCTGTCATATATCTTAATCCCTATATCCTTTTCATTAAATGATTTCTTCAGTCAACAGATTCTATTAATGTCATTGTACAGATGATAATTTATGATATCTTTTGTTTGCCCAACTATTATGTTTTTGCATTTGTCAGGATGGAATTTTATAAGCCATTTGCTTGACAATTTCCATTTTTCATCCTTGTAATTTTGAATGATATGAATATCATTTGTACTGTTGAACATTGATATCTAAATATCTGAGTATCATCTGCAAACAAGGAAAAAGTAGACTGTACACTATCTGGAAGAAATGGTCAATAAATTACTTAACTTTGCTTATGATATTAAGGATCTTGGTGTTCTGGTTGAAATTTTATTGGATTGTTAACATGATTTCTCTAGGGGAAAATCTTACCTTATTAATCTTTTGATGTTTTTGATGAGGTTACTGGTTATATAGATGTGGGTAAGGTTGTGGATTTGGTGTATCTGGATTTTCAGAAAACATCTAACAAGGTGCCACATAAAAAGCTTTTTTTGAATAAATAATATCCATAGATGTAGGAGGTAAATTGACTCATTAGATAAAAAAGTAGCTATATGGAAGAAAGCAGATGGTTATTATAAATGGAGTTCAGTCAAACTGGATTAATGTCACAAGTCACAGTGGGGTACCTCAGAGTTCAATGTTAGGACCTTTGATCTTTTTGATTTACATTAATTACATAGATGAAGAAATGGTCAAGAAATGACTTAAATTTGCTGAGGATATTAAGGTATTGGGTGTTGCTGACTTTGAGGGGGATGCTGCAGCTTTACAAAAGGATTTGGATTATTTGGTGAGTTGGGCAAATAAATGGCAGATGGCTTTTAATTATAATAAACCTGAGGTAATACATGTGGGATATCACAATTAGAATTCTAAATATATTTTTGATGGGAATAACCTTTGCAGTGATGAGTACACTGGAATGGACAGCAACTGCCTGTTGTAGAAAAAAAACAAGTGTAGAGGATGACATTTCAAAAGTCTTTTGTGTTCAGGTCAATGTGTATGTAAGCTGTTGCAGGTATTTTATAGTATCCTGGTGAATTGTGGAGGATGTGTTGTGATTGGTTGGTTCTGATTAGTGGAATGGCTGCATGTAGCTTTAATCAATGGTACCTATAGTTTGCTTACCTCTAATCCCGAACCTCTGTTTAGTGAAGGCTTTATTGTTTTAATGTAGAAATATTTTTTAATGTGTCGATAATTCTAGTTTTATCCCAGCTTATTTTGTATCCAGTTGACATAGTGTGTTCCACAATGGCTGAATCTTGTTTTTTCATGTCTTGTGCTGTCTTTGTTTTCTTTTATTCTTGTTCCATGTTGTCTTCTCATTTTTCCAATGTTGGCTTTGTTACTTACTCTTATCTCAGCACCAGGAAAAGGTCTAACTCGCCTTAACATTATTTGAGCCCTGACAGTAGATACTCTGAAGCAGCTGTAGATTTGCTGTTGGTCACTGTTTTGTCTTTGGCCAGAGCCTACCTGGTCTGCTCCAGAGTTGTCCCTAGTCATTGTATCCCTTCTTTTGACAAGGAAGGTGGCATGGAGCATTGTTGGAATTGCTACTTCTCAATTGTACAGTTTCTAGGCTTCCATTCATTTGGTGGCCATTTCTTAGCAATGTCACTTTAGAAGTTTAATTCACTGTTAGAAATTCAGCTCTTGGCTGTAACTTAGGTAACTCGTGAGGCCTTTTTGCAGGGCACTGTTTGGACTTAGTGTCCAATGCTTCATTGGTCCCATAGTCTGAAATCCACCTGATATGCTAGTGTGACCATCCATGTTTTAACATGGCTGTTAAAGATAACTCCCTTATCTGAGTGGATTTCTTCAGGTGCTCCAAACTGGGCTATCCATTGCTCTTCCAGTGTGTCAGCCATGATTGTACAGATGTATTGACCAGTGAATATACCTTGGTCAACTTATGAAGTAGTCTGTGACCATGAGTATACAGAGATGAGCTCTTTCTGCCTCCAGAAGTGGACCACCAATATCCATTTCTTTGCTGGAGTTTACCCTGTTTAGGTTAACTTTTCCTCTGAGTTGCACATATCATGTAGTGTTCACACCATTGCTGAATGTCTCAACTTCAACATGGTTAGAAGTGATACTATTAAACACTAGAATGTGTGTGTTACACCTTGGTACCCTTCAGCCTTCATATTATGTGAAGTCTAGAAATTCTCATCAGTGTTACATTCCTTATTCTGAGCTAGATATTATTTTCCTTTTTATATGGCAAGGAGCACCCATGCTAGATCTGGGTCCTTCATCTGCTCTTCCTGGAACTCCCAAAGCATTAATTATGGTGTATATCCACTAATGGAATTCCCTATGACATGGCTTGCATTGTTGTATCATAAATGGTTTTAACTCTCACTTGGTGTCCAGAATTCAGACATTCAATCAGTGGACAAGTTCTTACCATCTGGAGAGAGTCTGTTTATGTTTCAATGTTGTATGCTCAAGCAATATATTACTTGATCATACTCCTGTAATGCTACTATCCAGCTTACTATCATGCCTTTGGAGATTTAAAGTTTATCAAACAGTGAACTTTATACCATATAAATAGTGCCAGAAGTGTTTCAGAAACAGAACAACTTCAAGCAGCTCTTCCTTCATCATACATTCAGGAGCTTTGAACATATGACTTAAACACAATTATACATCTTACACCACCCTGCATCTGCAATAACACTGCTCTACTTCCACTGTTTCTGGTATCAGTGTCTAACAGGAATTCACAATCCTGTCATGGAGATGCCAACACTGAAGCTTCTACTAAAGCATATTTCAGGGACTGGGATGCTTACTCACATTCCTCACTCTGTCTGAAGTGTATTTCTGCCTTAATAAGAGCCAGCAATGATGAGGCAATCCTAGAGAAATTGTCCACAAACTATAGGTAATACAATGTGAAACCAAGAAAAACTGCATCTCATTTCGTTACAGGTTGAGGCCAATCTCACACCACTGCTATCATAGCATGAACAATATGGCCAAGAAATTCCATTTCTGTATGCATGACCACATATTTTCCAGATTTCAATTTTAATCCTGCTTTTTTTATATGCTAAATACCATTTCCAAGTTCTCAGCAACAGACTAGAATGTGAAATCAAACAACAAGACTTTGTCAACATGGGTGAGGCATTTTTACTGCTACAGCCCTTTCAGTGTAAGCTCTATTAACCTGTCAAAAGTGGGCACATTGTACAGGCTGAACAGCATAATGCAAAACTTCTACAAGCCATTTCTCATGTTAAAAGCAGCCTTAGGTCTGCTCTCGTCAACCTGTTTGACTTTTCAATATCCAGATACCAAGTCTAAAGTATTGAAACAATGGTCTTTTTGTAATGTGTTTATACATTCATGTATTCATAGTAATGGAAAGGTGTCAATGTGAGTTTTTGCATTCACCCATTTAAAAACAATTTAGAACCTGGTGTACCTTTCTTCTTTCTGACAATCATTGTTGAAAATGATCATGCACTCTCTGAAGGCTATATTATTCCTTTCTTTAATATCCACTGTATTTAGCTCTGGCTAATTATTTTAGTGTTGTAGACAAACCTACATAAATGGTACTTGGTTTAATCCAATGTTCATCACAAATATCTATGTGATGTTGTATAACTGTTATTCAACTCAATTGGCCATCCAGTCAAGTAAATATACCAGCACATTTTACCAACAAGTCACTGAGAGTTGCTGCCACTGCTTTGAGTTTAGATTGTCTACACAATTCTCAACTAGCAATCTCAGATGTATTGGTATCCATGTATATACTTTCAGATGTGGTGACACAGATGCAACCTTGGTGTTACCGTTAGCATAGTTTACTTCCACTTTGCTTACCATACAAATGAACATTCTAGTGGGCAGCTGGATAATAAACTGTCTGTAATTTCAGAACAATACTAGGACTTCATTCTCCCTTGGACAGATAACTACTAGGTAATGCTACATGCTTTCTGGAAGGAAACAACCTGCTTCATGAATAGATACTATAACTACATGGCACCAGTGCACTATACATTGTCCATATTAAACCACAGAACACCAGTTGCAGGGATAGAAATATTGAAATAAAATTACATTCACTCTTGGGAAGGCTGTCAGAAAGATTACATTTCCTCATGAGTTGTTTTTTATTTAATACATGCAATATTTTCACTTTCATTGGTCATAAGAAACAGAATACGGATGGACCACACATTTCTGATTGGAGAAGCCAACTAAGAAAGATAAAATTCCTCAAGCAGTTAAATTACTTGGGAATGTGGGAATGTAATATTTTGATCCACGAGTTGTTTACATGGGTTACTGTGAATCCCTCTCCCAAATACACTTGTGCAGTGCACTGTTTCTTGGGTCCATCTAGCTGAGAATGGATAACTACTTTGGAACATTAGTTCACCTGTTGCATAGGCAAAAATTTACTGCTAAGCTTCATAGTATATCCATTTGAAGAATACTAATGCCAAAACCAAGGTCTTGGACAATTACCTATTTTCTTTAAGTTAAACTTCTTAGACATAGTTAAAGTGTGACTTCTCCATTCATGTCCAGTTTATCTCTGTTTGCCAGAACAAAGTTCATGTTGACTGGCTTATATTGTGTTTTGCTTCCCGATATACCATGAGATCTACCAGTGTTTTGGCCACCGTCTCTATGCAACCAGGAACTATTTCTCACCCTTTTACCTGACAGACACATATCCAGACTCCTAGTTCTGAAAGTGCTAGGCTGACCACCTTTTGATGTAATCTGTTCTTTGCACTCCTCCTGTTGGTGGCCAGATCTGACTTGGGCTTCTCTAGTTTTTCAAAGCTACAGCTGCAGTATTCAGTGTGTGCTGTTAGCTTTTCTGAAAAACTTGTTGCACCATTAGTTGAAACTGATAGGCTTTAGCTGCCATTCTGCTAAGCAAATAGGGTCATTTTACTCAAAAATGACTCGATGCTCCCAATCAAAACATGTGAATCATTCCTTTCATTCAAAACAACATCTAGGCAGAGACATTGGAGGCATGTGATGTAGCATATAAACTATCAGATGACCAGTATAACCATATCAATTCACTATATATATATATATCAGTATGGTTGCATCATAATGCTAGGATGTATGGGTGGTTAATTAGCCCTCAGCTGGATTCAAACCTGGAATAGGACAGTCTGATTGAGGTATGTTCACTGCAGCTACTGCTATAGGCATCTTCCTCAACTGACTAGCAGTTACTACTCTGTGTCATATCACAACAGAAACTCTTAGTAAGGGTGAGAAGTTCTCTCACACCTAAGTGATGCTGGGCAGCCCTTCCACAAACTTTTCTATGAAGATATCCTCATGATCTGGTGAATACATTGCAGGGTAAGCTTTATCATGTGCTGATCATCAGCTTTCAGTGGTGATCTGTGCTCTTCTAAGCCTTGAACTCAACCCAATAGATTGCCAAACTTCCTGCACAACTTGATGATGACTGCCTTGAAATCCTAGAGTTGCTCCTCATCCAAATGCCAGATGGAGTCTAGGGCTGGACTGATTAGAATTGTAACTAGTTGAACAGACTGTTCGTGTAGTCTAACCCATCCAGGCAGTTAGCTGTCTGAAACAATTCAGGAAAGGGTCCAAGTCTTTCTTTACTGTGCCTTTGTTGGTGGAGTGAAATGTTTGTCCTTGTTCACAAAGACATATGATGATGGTTAGAAATTCTTTCCAAATTTCTGTTCATCTGGCTGAGATATCCTCAATATAGCTGACACAGTATGTTAAGAACTTTGACATTCTGACAAGAGGTAGCAGGGTGGCAAAGTAACAAGGTACACTAGGCTGCTTATTCAGCTCTGTTGACCCATTTTTTTTCTGTGAACTATGGAGCTTTAATGTCAAGGTATGACTGTTATGAGCTGAATTTTTTATTTAAGGTTGCTTTTTATTCAATATGGATTTTCATTATTCATCTTTAAATACTTTGTTCTTTACTTACCGTAGTAAATGTTTTTATAAAGATAATCCTGATGATACTCATATTTAAATCAACCTTTTTTTTATGTATCTATACATTAAGTGATTGAAATCTTATTTCTTAATACATTATAGTTTTTATTTTGACTAATCACTGTGCTTGAGCTTTATTTAAAACACTGTTCACAGTGTTAGCCTCCTACTGTCATCACCAAATTTGCAAGTTTCGTAAAATTTTATTAATATCAGCAATGAACAATAGCAGTCATAACACATAAGTGGGAAGCTCCACTACTGTAGTTCATTGAAAGAAAAACTATTTGGCAGCTCTTTACTTTCAACCAACAAACTTAAGTTTTAATAATTCTGATATTTCTGCCTACTTTAACCTAATATCTCACTACTTTTCAGGTATCTATTATGCTTTTCTATCAGTTTTACTGTCAGAATTCTTGTTATAAACTTGATTCTTAAAAGCAGGCAAAAATATTTTTTGAAGAATTTATTTTGTACACACTTTTTGGTTGTACTTGACTCTGATTTCTGTAAAGTTGTGAAACTGTGATCATGGAGGTGCATTTTCCACGGTCATGTAGAGCTTATGGTGTAGAGGATAAAGCTACAGTTTAAGTAAGACACACAATTTAAGAATGTGGTACAGATTAGGAGAGGCTCTCTCATTGACTAAAAGCTTTCACCAGCCACTATGAGAGTTATATCTGTGTTCTTGTTATGCCTTCAAGCCCAAGAAGTTGACATGTAACTTTTGCAGCTTGACTTCTTTCTATTACTCCCTCCCCTCATCCTTCAAATATATGAGTTTAGGATCTTAATGATGGGACCATTTTCAATCTGGACATCCCAAGACTATGCAAGATGGTTTCTATAGGGCTCCTAGGCATTCATGGAGTAGTACATGAATTACCAAACACCAGTTCAAGTCACTACTGAATAAGACAAGGGTGAACTGCCTGTGGTTGACCAGGTAGAGCCATGATGCTACTGAGTGAAGCAGTCACTATCTTGACCAAAAAAACCTTTTACCATAAATTACATAATCTAGTAAATTGTTCCAATGTGCAAAGACTGTGAAAACATTAACATATTTTGAATAAGAAAGAAAAAGTATCTTTAATTTCTATTCTTTGCTGATAACCCCATCATTCCAGAAGTCACATACATGTAACTTCCTGTATTATATAAAAAATAATTAATTTGTTGCAAGTGAAAATAACTTGTTATATTTAAGTACAATTTGATAAAGGAACCTGAGTATTTCTCTAAATTTCTGAAAAAATTCAGTTTCTCTCAGGTAACTGAAAAGAAATCGTAAACCAAGATGTTTCACTTCTTTGGTAAAGAAGCTTTGCTGAAGAAGTGAAATATCTTGGTTTAAGATTTCAGTTACCTGGGAGAAGCTGAAGTGTTATTTCAGAAGTGCAAATATTTTTTGTATACATTCAAATTACATAATATTATTCATTATTAAATGCCAGACTGGAAAATAAAAAAATTAAATTTTTTTAAATCAAAGAAATTGCTCAAATTAATGTGTGGATTTAGCATTGAAAACATTATGCTTGAACAGATTCTTTTTCTAATAAAATTAAACTATTTTTGTCTTTACAGCTATTCAAAGCTTGGTGAAGAAAACGAAAAGGCCAGTTGTGTCACAGAAAGTGCAATTATTCCAGTTTTTATGTAATTAGTGTATTTTCCTCAAAATAAGTCATGCATGTGGTATGAACTTAATAATGGATGTTTCTGAGTATCGGTGAATTGAACCAACTCTGTTAATTCTTGATTTATTCACCAATATCAAAATTTTAGGCATCAAAGAATTAGTCTTGAAATCTATGTATCAAAATATTTTTCTAGGGGGATTTCTGTGGAGAGTAAATGAATCACAAAAAAACAAAAAGTTTATAGCATAAAGAGAATTCATGGTTGTTTTTGATACAGCTAGAAAATGAGCTGGTTCAACACAGTCAGTTTTGTTGGTTTTGCTAAATCAGCATTATCTTCTGCACAAAAGAAAATAGATAAGGCTTTGGATATTCAAGAAGAATCAGAAGGTAGTCACAGAAAAACAACAGATTCAGCCAAACAGGATTCATGGTCATTCCAGGAACAACCAAAGACAAATCTATTAGCTGTTGGACAAAACACCCAACCAAAGAAGCTAGAAGATTTACAGACAGAAACTACAATGTTGGACCCTTTGGAAGAATTAAAATACAATGAAACATATGATAAGGAAAATTCAAAATTTTGGTCTGACTGGGGATTGTTTTTTGATTCTAAGGAAACACCAGGCTCATTTGAAAGTATTGAGAATCTTACCGCAGGATCTACAGCAAAATATATTGGTGATACAGTAGTTCAACAACCACAAACATCACAGGTTTTGCAAAAGAAAGAAGATAACATGTCAGCATTGGCATTGTTTACTACTGAAAATAAGGACACTAATGATCAGGTCAAATTTGATAGTGAAGTAGCTAATAGTTTGTCAATTTATTCTGACAAAAGTGAAAACTTCATGAATCAGAATAATGACCAAAAAAATGTTGGTTTTTCTTCTAAGAAAGTTCTTGAAATTGATTCGATAATGTTTAATATAGAGAAAGTAGCACAAAAAGAAGACCATTTTCAGACTAAATTGTATGAACCTCAAGGTACAAGTACAGAATGTATTGTTGATAGGGGTGAATACTTACATAAGGAAAGCAAAGACAGGGAAAATGTGGAAGAGACACTATATTATTGCAGTCAAAGAACAGATGATACTTCTCAGAAAAAAGACTTTAAAAACTTTGAGTTTCAGAATGCCGAAATAAGTAGAAAAGATAGAATTCTTATTTGTGATGAAGAGTTTGATCCACTTCATAAACAATTTGAGTTACCAGTAACACAGAATGATTCAAGTGACTCAGAAACCTTGACTGGTAGTGACCTTATGGCTCACTCCACAGAGGAAAAAAGCTTAGAAACTTTCAATCTTGAAGATTTTGAAGAAAAGAAACTAGAAAGTATTACAGATATGCTGCATAATAATACATCACCAAAAAATAGAATAAAAGAAAATATTTCAGATACTGAAACAGATTGGCAGCATAATAGGAAACACATATTTTTTGTAGAAAATAAAGAGTTTGTTGTCAGTGATAATATGAGCACTGAAGATGAAATGTTTCATCAGGAAATGGCTCAAGAAGATGTAAAAACTATTTTAGAGCAGGAACAAACTGATTTTCAACATCAACACCTGGCTTCTAGTTGCAACCCCAATACATTAGAAGAAAAGCAACTAGAGTGTAAACAAAAACTAACTGAAGAGGAAGCAAATGTTCAAAAAAGCAATGAAATAGTTAGTAAAAAAGACAGATTATGTGACTCACAAACTAATACAGAGAGTAGTCTCTCAAACAAAACTGTAATTTCAACAATGCAGCATGATAGAAGTTTGGATATCCCTTTGTTCACAGAGTTACCTGTTAGTTCTTGTGATTCTCAAGCATTATCCAGAGATCAGGAAAACACGCCCATGGAAATTAATATTCAAAATTCTTCAGATGAATGGGAGGAAAAACAAAATATGGAAACATCTCAATCTGAGTATTTTGGTGAACTCTGTCAGTGTTTTAGTGTAGAAAAGCAAGAAATACGAGTTAGTAGTGAAGAAGATGAACCAAGAGATGCAAAAGACTGGGAGGCTAGATCTTCAGATAGTGTTGGTTCACATGAAACAAGCTCTTCAAGCTCTTTTGTGAAATGTGTGATGGATGACATAGATAATACGTCATCACTACCAAGTACACAGGGAAATTCTGGATCTCTATCTGAACGATCAGAACTTCAAAAACTTGACTTCAACAGTGGACATACATCTGGTGATGAAGTTGAGACAACCACATCATCAGATATTGAAATAATTTCACCAAATGGAGATAATGGAGAATACCATCGTTTATCTCCTTTGAAACACATGTGGACTTTGCGTCCAAATAACAAAAGTAGATCATCTGAAAGTCCATCCTCTGATACTGGCAGAGAAGGAATAATGCCTGCTGTTCAGGAAACAGAAGAAGAGAGTGATCTAGATGGTGAGAACATCAGAAAAACACCAGATTCTAACACAGTAGCCATGGACAGCATGCTGAAGAGGATGACAGAGATCGAAGAAGTTTTGAATCAGAGAGAGAAAAAAATATTAGAACTAAGTAGAGAAAATATTAAACTGCAAGAGAGCAATAGCTCTCTGTTGAATGAACTCAGTCAAGTAAAGGAAGCTTACAGCAATGAAAGCAGAGGGGTATCTGGCCTGACCCAAGAGTTCACACAGCGGCTTGCTGATTTAGACACTAAGCTTCAGAATGCTACAAAGGAAAGAGATAAACTCTTTCAAGACTTAGAAACTGCAAAAAGTGAAGCCGCTAGTCGTCTGAGTGTTAAAGAAACTGAAAAGATCCTTCAAGATAAAGACCAGCAGATTAGAGAATTGTTACAAGAAGGAGAAAAACTTTCTAAACAACAGCTCCAGCAATCTAACATTATTAAAAAACTGAGGGTCAAAGAAAAAGAAAATGATGGAATTATTAAATCACAGAAAGAAACACTTGAAGGTCAAACCAAAGAGCTAGATCGATTGAGAAAATCTTTAAGTGCTAAAGATGAACAGGAGAAAATACATATTGAAATTATTCGACAACTCAAATCTACTGTTCAAAAACAAGAGACTGAAGTATCAACATTAAAAAGTGACTTGGAAGATGCCCATGAAAAAGTTGTAAGTTTAAATAAAGCTTTACAAGCATCTTCAAAGGAACTGGCTGAATTGTTAAGAGCTAATGCAGAAAAAGATAGCAAAGTTCAAGAAGCATTGTTGAGTGCTGAAATAGCAGCTAAAGAAGAACTGCGTCAAACTTTAGAACATGTGAAGCAAGAGTATAGTAGAGAAAGGGAAACTTTGCAATTTCAGCTACTAGAAACAAGATCTATGACTAGTCAACTTGAACAGGAAAGCCAACATCAAGTAGGAACACTTCAGACAGAAATAGCTGAGTTGCGGTATAGATTACAAGAGGCAGATCAGCGTACTGAAGATGCTAATCAGAATATATCATCAGCAACAAGACCTCTGTTAAGACAAGTAGAAAATTTACAGTCAACCTTACGAATGCAGGCTATGTCTTTTGAAAGGTTGGAGAAAAACCTAAATGAAAAACTCATCGAATCTCAAAAAGAACTGATGTTAGCGAAAGAATCTGAGAAAACAGCTAAAGAAACATGCAAAGAATTGAAATCAAAGACCAACTCTTTGCTGTCTGAAAATCTTCTTTTAAAACAGGAGGTGTACACTTTAACTAAACAAGTTGAAGATAATTCTAAAAAACTTGCAAATATTGAACTTGAGAAAGAAAAATCTGTTAGCAGCAATGCTTATCTTAAGAACACCTTAGAGAAGAAGCTATCAGACTTGCAAAAGGAGAAGGAGAATTTGGAAGCACAAACAGTATTATTACAGCAGCAGTTAGACACTGAAAAAAGACAGGCAGAAGTTTTAAAAGACCAGATGAAATGTTCATCTGGGGCTGTTAGTAGAACCAGTAGTCGCCACTCAACTTCACCTTCTTCTCATCATTTATCCTTCAGCAACTCTTTGAACCAGTGGGAGCCTGACCTAGTGGAGCCAAGTGAGCATTTTGGATGGGGCTCTTATTCTAGTTCAACTGCTTTTAACCACTTTTCTAAAACCAGTGATGCAACTTTTTTGGAAAACTTGCAATCTCAGCTAAAGCAAAAAGAAAGTCAGTTAGGCCTTCTGCAGTCTCAAATTGAGCACCTGGAACAAGTGAAAGAATCCATGACTCAGGAACTAGTGAATTTAAATGAAAAAATTGACCATCAAGACAGTGAATTATGTGTCCTTAAAGACTTGCAGTCAGAGTTCCAAGATATGGAGCAGAAATACAACACACTTCTTCAAATGTATGGGGAAAAAGTGGAAGAAGCTGAAGAACTAAAGCTAGATCTAGAAGATGTAAAATTGGCTTTCCGTAACCAGTTGGATGCTTTAACTAGGGAAAATTAGTTCAGCATGGTTTTAAAATACACAATAAATAAAGTGACTGGCACTGAAATATTGTCTTATTCAGCTCATAATTATCTAGTAATTTATTTTAAATGAAAAATTATTAATATACAGCATATATATATTTTTTTGTCAATAAACATAATTTTCACTTCATCCACTAAATGGGTTGTACAGTACAATGTATATTTACAAGTAATTTGTGAATCAAATTGATATAACATATGTTATACATAGTGTGTTACTTTGCCATTATTAATGTTTTCCCCTTTATTTTTGAAATATATATATATATTTCAGAGATAAAGGGGAAACATTAATAATGGCAAAGTAACACACTATGCATGACAAGTTTGTATATGTGTATATGTTTTAGAACTGTTTAAGAGATATGTACTTTGAAAGAATAGTATTCTAATTTGGTGTTAAGGTTTACTTAATTTTTTTGTTGGTTGGTTAAATAATTGGCTTGAAGTTTATAAAGAATATTTTAAAATTAGCAATTTTTATGCACCTCTATAAATCTTCTGGTGGGTCTTTTTTGTGCTGTTGGATTCATTAAAGTAGGAAAATAAGAAAATACTAATCGAAATATCTCTGATAACTTTTTGTGGTTACTTCATGCTTAGTATAAAAACAGTTTATTTTGAACATTTTATGGCAAGTAATATAGTTGTATGTTTCTTGCATCAAATAACCCACATGTATGTATAGAATAGGGCAAAAAGTTTATTTACCATTTTTTTTCCACCAGTTTTTAGTGAGAAGAATATTATTCAAGGATTGGGGTATCTTTTATAATAGCCCACTTCTTTGAATTAGGCGAGTTTTGACAGAAACAACCCCCAGTCATTAACTAGGGACCAAATTGAAGCAACCTACATTAATCAATCAGTTTCAAGCTGTGGCTTTCATTAATATGAAAGATGTTTTTGTTGTTTTTTCTTTTTCACCATTTGTTACAACATTACATTTAAGGTATATAATGTTTGTTTAATCATTTTGTTTGTAAGTTATGCAAATTATCCTAATGTGGAATCTTTGGTTCATTTTTAAATTTATTAAATACTTGTGTTACTTTTAAAACAACTTTGCATATTGATTTTCTGAAATACAAGTCATATATAACATTTTTCTACCAACATGATTACAAAATAAGTTAAAGTGTAATGGAAAATAACACTAGTGTTATAGACTTGTAGTCTGCAGATATAAGATATTGAGGTTAAGAAAAGCATTACACTGTTTACTAGTATTTAACTTGTTTTTTGTTAAATTATCTGCCAAGATTGTTTCTGACTGGCAAAGTGAATTGTCTTGTGTAAAATAGTCTGAAACTTATTTTTGTAATAAGGAATACCAGTCAGTATTTGATTGTATAATTGTCTTTGATCTTCTTACCTTTTTTGTTTGACAATATGAACTTTGACTTTGGCATTTAATGATATGCTGTAGTTTTAATGGAATGATCTAAATGGCCAGTTGATTAAAAAAAAGAAAAAATACTTTGACTTGTATTTTATCATTCTATAAAGAAGAGGTAACTTACCATGATTCTAACGAAACATATTCCCTTCAAATCTCTGTCATAAAAAACAAGTTTTGTGAATAAGTATATTATGATTACTATATTTATATACTTGATATTTGTGAGCATCATTTTGATAGTTATGCTGTTTTCTTTTATTCAGGTTTGACTTTCATTTCTTTTGGGTGAAGTTCTCTTCAGAATTTTCTTATTTCAGATTGTATTTTGAATGAATAGCAGTTTTAAAAAAAAATGTAAATAGTGATAACTTCTCAAACATTTCATTATATTCACTGTTTGTTTTTACCTTCCCAATATATTATAGGCATTCAGCTCCTATAGTAAGGTACAAAAGTTAGTTTCTCTTATCAAGTTAAATATTTTATTCCAGAGCAAACACAAGCTACTATTTTGATGTGTTTGCACAAAACATATTGATAATGGTGCTTTATTTAGAAATATGAAATTATCATTTAACTAACTGTGGGACAGATATGAACATTTCATGATTAGTTGATCATATACAATGTATTTACTATTTGATAGACATATCTTTGAATTTTAACCTGCACGTATGCTTCTTGGTACTCCCAAACAAAAGACTTTTTTAGCACATGACATTGACCATTAAAGAACTATGACTCACAAATTTTTTCTGAAATTTTATTATCAAAATGGTGAAATGTATTGTACAGTTACTAACAAATCTCATATTAAGAGCTTTTGAATTTATAATTACACCTTTAGTTCAAGGTACTTCATTTCTATATTTAAGACTTAATCATTAACTGAAAAAATTAAATAATTAATTTGGAATGGACTGTATATATATTTTTTGTTCAAATTTAACATTGCAAACATTTTAGCCACAACTTCGAGTTTTTCAAGTACAAACTTTTAGCTCATAACTCTGTCATCTCTTGACTGATTTGAAATCTAATTACAGTTTTGGACTCAAGAGGTCAAACTCTTTCGAATGATATAATTGATCATGTCCAAGGTCTTGTAGATTATTTACTTTAATCCTGCCTAAAAGAATTTCAGCTGTTGAGGATTCCCTCTTGTTTATTACAGTTTAAGAATCTTCATGTATTTCCCAGAGGTATGTAAAATATGTACATTTCTGCTAAACTAAAAAAAATCTGGTATCTATAAATTTAACATAAAAATTGTCTTAAAGGCCACGAGTTGGTGGTAGGTGCTGTTGATTAGCTGTCTTCCCTTTTAGTCTGTCTCTTCAGAATTAAAGATGGCAATGTTCAGGTAGCTTTGCCCAAAATTTCTAATGCAAACCATAAGGGCCCCATTGGTAAGTCTAAGGTGAAGAACTGTTCATCTCAAAAATGTTACTCTTCAGAAGAAACAACGGAGAAGTAGTTTCAATGCTGAGGAAACATTTTATCTTTAAAAAATCTAAATGAACAAAAGTTCAAGAAAAGACGGGAAGCTTGACTGCTATGTAATTTTTCTTCTAATGTTTAAGGATCTGTGACTGTAACGAATTCTTCATTTTTTATACATCTATACTGATTTTTCTGCCTTCGTAATGTAGTTTTAATTTTCGTTTCGTTGTTTGATGTTGTTGGCCATGAAGCTCTAACTTGTCCTATTATCGATAACAGTCACATCAGTGGTAGTAACTTCATCAAGGGCTTTACTGTTTCCCTTTTAAAAACCAGGTAGAGTTTCTTCTTCAGCAGCATCATTTGTTTCATTGTTCACTTCGTTCCAACTGAAATACCCTGGACTGTGATAATGCCAAAGCCTGTTGGCATGCACCACCTTTGGCTTACCTCACCGACCACATTTTATCCGGAAAGTCACGTCTGAGAGA